TATAAGACCCAAAGACTGGGCAGCTCATATAAATAGACACACTCAGAAGATGAAGTAGAAATGACCAACAAACATAAGAAGAAATGTTCAACATCTGTGGCCATTACAGAAGTGCAAATTAAGCAACGCTAAAATTCCATCTTACATCAGAAATCATGGCAATCATCAGCAAGTCAAAGAATAACAAATGCTAGTGAGGCTACAATATCAAAGGGATTCCCCTGCATCATTGGTGGGAATGTAAATTAGCAAAACATTATGAAAATCAGCATAGAGGTTTCTCAAAGAACGAAAACTCACAATTCCATAAACTCCAGCTATCCACCCCCTAGATTTCTTCTCTAAAGAGCTAAAGATATCATACTATGGTGACACATTTGCCAATGTTTAGAGCAGCACAATTCATAATAGCTAAACCCTGAAAGCAGTCTGCATACACATCAACAGATGAACGGATAAAGAAAATACCTTATGTATACGTAGTGGAATATCACTCAAGTTATATAAAATGATAAATTAGAGGCTTTCGTAGATAACTGGATACACCTGGAAAATATAATATTTAGTGAAATAAACCAGACACACAAGCTTAAATGCTTTATGGTATCTTCCATTTGATTAAGGCAGTGTACAAGGAAAGAGCATACTGAATGATGGGTACAAGGAAACAAGGGGAAACATCTTTTCCAAATGGGATGGGTCCAGAAGACAGAGGGAGAGAGGAGTGTGGAAGAGGGAGGAAACATAAGAATTAAGACATGCCATGTACAGGAATCTAATAACCTCGGTGAGTATAATCATACGTAATATACATGAGATAATAACAATATCAAAAATGAAACTGGGGAAAAGGGGTTTAGAGGCAGAAAAAGGGAGGAGGGCTGAAGCAGAAGGGGAGTAAAAAGGAAACAGGCTGTATTGGGTATGTGTACCTACTCCTCAAGGTGAATATGAGATTCATGTAATGCAAATGTCCACGAATAAAACGTAAAAGCACAAACTTAGAAAATGGCATGAACAAAATATTAAGCGTTTCATAATGTATGCAAATGAATCTATGTCTGATCAATCTTTCAGTCTGCTTCCAGAGAAATTTAAAATGATGAATGCTTGTATAAAAAACAAATGTCTCAACGCCATATTTAAATATCCCTTCTCAGAAACAAGCAAAACATCAGGATAAAAAAATCATTCAACAAATAATTGCGAATTCCATTCATTTAGAATTATAGACAATGATGAGAAAAGTTAAAATGTATAAATGGGCTATTTAATAATTAATTGCCACCTATTAGTTAAAAACCTAAGACAACCTAATATTATAGAGTAAATGTTAGAGAAAACACATAGAAAAGAGCAAAATAAAAATGTGAGATGGAACACATAAAACTGTCTGCACTTGCATATAGCATCCAAGTATATGTTGCAAAAATTAATGAACCATCAAAAGATTACTGGAGTTATTAGAGATGGTAGCACGGATATATTTCTAGGTTGGTATTAAAAACTGTCATTTAACTACGAGTCAATTATAAACTGGATTTGAAATTGTAGATATTATACCGTATGCAGCACTAAGAGTGACACAGAGATAAACAATTTCACATATGCTAATGACCACATGTTAAAAATGTTCAACACAAATGTTAACGCAGGATGAAATCACGAAGAAATGGTGTTTCAGTGAGTAATGGCCAAATCTTGGGGGCAGCCTACATTTCGATCAAAAGATGAATGAATAAAGAAAATGTGGTTTTTATACAGAATGCAGTACTATTCTACAAGAAAGAAGGATAAATTGGCTCATTTGTAGGAAAGTGGGTGCACCTTGAGACCATAACATTGAATGAAGTAAATCACACTCATAAGATTAAATGTCTCATGGTTTTCTCTTTTATGTGAAAAGAGTGCAAATAAAGTGCAAAATAAAAGACAGGATGTGGGCTGTCTTTTCACACTATTGGTTTTTTCTCTTGCTGTGCAGAAGTTTTTTGTTTTTGTTTTGTTGTTGTTGTTGGGTTTTTTGTTTTTGTTTTTGTTTTTGGTACCAGGGATTGAACTCGGGTCCTTGCACTTGCAAGGCAGGCCACCGAACCACTGAGCTAAATCTCCAGCCCAAAGTTTTTTTTAATAAGAAGACATCCCACTTGTTGATTGTTTGTGCTAGTTCATGGGCAACTGAGGTTTTGTTCATAAAATCTTTTCCTACACCTATGTCTTCAAGAGTTCTACCTAACCTCTCTTCCAGATGGCTTAGTGTCTCTGTTTTAATATTTAGATCTTTAATCCATTTCCATTTTAGTTTAGTATATGGTGAGGTATATAGGTCTAGTTTTAATCTTTCGCAAGTCAAAACCCAGTTTTTCCATCACCATTTATTAAAGAGGCTATCTTTCCTCCAGTGAGGCTGTTTGGCTCCTTTGTCAAAGATGAGGTGACTCAGTGTGTCTGCATTTGTTTCTGCTTCTAATCTGTTCCACTGGTCCTCAGGTCTGTTTGCCAGTACCATGTTGCTCTTCCTCAGACAAAGATCTACTATCTAGAATTGAGAAAGAACTTAAAATTACCAGACCTCCCAAATGTAAAGACTGAATCCAAAAATGGGCATCTGAAACGAACAGACATTTCTCAGACAAAGAAGCAGAAATAGCAAATAAACATGCGAAAAAACGTTCAACATCACTGGTAATTCAAGAGATGCAGATGAAAACGACGCTGAGATTCTACTTCATCCCAGAAAGAATGGCTGCTATCAAGAAATCATCCAATAACAAATGCTGGAGGGGATGTGGGGAAAGAGGAACTCTGATCCTCTGCTGGTGGGAGCGCAGACTGGTGCAACCACTGTGGAAATCAGTATGGAGATACTAAGTAGTAGTAGTAGTAGGTTTGGAGGTCCCATTTGACCCTTCTATCCCCCTGCTGCGTATCTTTCCCAAAGAATTAAAAGAATTATACCACAGTGATATATGTGCACCCATGTTCATAGCAGCACAACTCATGATAGCTAAAACTTGGAAGCAGTCCAATTACCCATCAACAGGAGACTGGATAAAGAAAATATGTGTGTGTTTTTATAAAATGGAGTACTACGTAGCCATAAAGAATAAGAAATTTGAGACATTTATAGCTGAATGGAATCACATTGAGGAGATTCTTTTAAGTGAAATAAGTAGGACGCATAAGTATAAATCAAATAACAGTCTCCTTAGTGATGAAATGATAAAGCTACAAAGATTTTCCAAATCCTCCACCCTGTGGCCATCTTGGGATATAGTCTGATGAAATCAGAGAGACGCTCTAGTGGTATAGGGCCAGACCAGTTGGAACTATAGAGACGAACCACACTCCGGGCCAAACTGAGTTCTTTATTATCATAAGCTGGTGAATGAGAGTGGCTCGCACTGGAAAAACTCGACAAAGGAAAAGTAGCTTGCTGGGGGTCTTTCAAACTGCTCTCCTAACTGGAGAGGACTCAAGGAGATGGGTTGTGCAAGCAGAATTTCACAGGAGCAGAACAGTTTAACTGAAACAAAATATCACACAGGTGTGGGATATCCTCTTTACAAGGTTGTAAAGAAAACACTTTCAGATTGCTCCACCAAAAGCTCAAAAAGATAATACATATTTGCAGACTCACACATGATGCAGTGGTCTGTTATGCATTAATTGAGGGGATTCCCAAGAGGGGAGGCAAGGGAAGGCAACTACCCAGAACAAATGAAGTCAGGTTGGTTATCACAATAGAAGGGGCCATCGCTGATTTGTGCCCCTGCATCTCTTTTTTTATGGGTCATTGCATGCATTGATATTTAATGTAAAACCAATAATTGACTTTCAAATTTTCCTTTGCTTCTTCATATTTATTCATTCTTTACACTCAGTTTCCATCTAAAAATATCACCACCGTTGGGATAAACCATGAGAAATTCTAAATCCCCGAGGTAACTTCTATTTTCTGTAAACAACTGCTGCAAAAATAGCGAAAGGAAAGCAGGGGAAGAAACCTGCATCACTCTAGCTCACACGAGAACCCACACAAGAGAACGGAATGTTAAACATCATTTCCAAATTTCTCTTCTAACTCAGGTGTGTTTACAAAAAACCAAGCAATTCTCCAACAGCACATGGTGGGTCCAATGTTCAATACCCACCCCCAGAGTTGCCACAAATCTGACAAATTCAGAGTCCTAGTACACTGCTCAAGTCCAGATCACACACCATAGGATGTGATGTTGTGTTCCGGTGTGAGCCATTACCTGGAAGTCACTGAGGACTGGTACACTGAGCTATACCAGTAACAAAACTGAAGGTGCCTTGAAGGTTTCATCGTGCGCAAAATTGCTCTGAAGCATTTTTTCCTTCTAGAGATGATCTCCTTTACAGGATGGAATGTGCTGCCCTTTAATACATCTGCCTCAATCGCTCTCAAAGAATTCAAAAAGAAAACAATCTTTTAATATCCTATTTTTCAGATGGTCATAGTAGCAGCATCTTTTTCATTCTTAATCAAACGTGCAGACTCTGATTTGTTCACTTGACAACAGGAGAAAAATGAGCACACAAGCCTAAGAGGCCAGTAAGTGTTTTTAAATAATTCTATGTTAACGAACAATCTTTTGTGCATTACTCTCTTTCTTCACCTATTTAATAATTATCGTTTTAGCATTCACTATGGTAATGGAATAAAATAAGAGATTGTATTAAGTAAGTCCTTAAGTCAGAACGTAACAAAATTTTTTTTTGTGACCTATACTTCCCAATTTTAAAGGCAAAACAAAAACTACATAAACACAAGTAAAAATCACATTTCAATTCACCACTTTTAATTAAAAGACAGTACATATTAAGCTCAAAGCCACAAAAAATACATAATTATTTCAACCCAACATTTTTATATTAAACAATACACACACACACACACACACACACACACACACATATATATATATATTACAATACAGATAATTATAAGCAAGTTATTGAAAAACACACTCTGTACTTTAGGGTATCTCCACTTGGAATTGTATTTTCAGGAAAATTTATGAATACTGACATCACACATTTTGTGTTATTTCTACAGATCTAGAAATTGTCACAGAATTTTAAAAATAGATTTATATACATAAAGTTTCTTTCCAGTGAGACTTCATGGATTTGACAGCTTTCCTACTTTGCTAAGTTACATAGGGTTTCTCCCCATGTGAATTCTTTCATGCATTTGACAGTAACTGCGTGTACTGAAAGCTTTCCCACATTGTTTACATATATATGGTTTCTCTCCAGTATGAATTCTTTCATGTATTTTACAATAATACTTTGTGCTGAAAGCTTTCTCACAATGCTTACAAATATACGGCTTCTCCCCAGTGTGGGTCCTTTCATGTATTTTACATTCACTGTGCCTGATGAAAGCTTTCCCACATTGCTTACATATATAGGGTTTCTCTCCAGTGTGAGTCCGTTCATGTCTTTCACAATAAAGGTGTGTACTGAAAGCTTTTCCACATTGCTTACATACATATGGCTTCTCCCCAGTGTGAGTTCTTTCATGTATTTTACAGTAACTCTGTGTACTGAAAGCTTTTCCACAGTGCTTACATACATAGGGTTTCTCACCAGTGTGAATTCTTTCATGTATTTTACATTCACTGTGCCTGATGAAAGCTTTCCCACAATGCTTACATACATAGGGTTTCTCCCCAGCATGAGTTCTTTCATGTGTTTTACAATAACTCTGCGTACTGAAAACTTTCCCACATTGCTTACATACATAGGGTTTCTCTCCAGTATGAATTCTTTCATGATTTTGAGAAGCACGATGTGTGCTAAAAGCCCTCCCACATTGCTTACACACAAAGGGTTTCTCCCCAGTGTGATTTCTTTCATGTATGTTACATGTACTACGCCTGCTGAAAGCTTTCCCACATTGCTTACATACGTAGGGTTTCTCTCCAGCATGACTTCTTTCGTGTATTTTACAATAAGAGTGTGCACTGAAAGCTTTTCCACACTGCTTACAGACATAGGGTTTTTCCCCAGTGTGATTTCGTTCATGTATATTACATGTAATACGCTTGCTGAAAGCTTTCCCACATTGTTTACATACATAAGGTTTCTCCCCAGAGTGAGTTTTTTGATGTATTTGACAATATCCATGTGTGCTGAAAGCTTTCCCACAATGCTTACATAAATAGGATTTCTCCCCAGTGTGTCTTCTTTCATGTATTTTACAATAACCCTGTGTACTAAAAGCTTTTCCACATTGCTTACATACGTAGGGTTTCTCCCCAGTGTGACTTCTTTTATGTATTTGACAATATCGATGTGTGCTGAACGCTTTTCCACATTGCTTACATACATAGTGTTTCCCTTCACTGCGATTTCTTTCATGGATCTGAACATCACTAGGTGTGCTGAAGGCCTTTGAATTACTCTTACATACAGCGGTCTTCTCTCTAAGGTGAGGTCTTTCACTGAGATCTGAGTAGGATTTCCCACATTGATCACATTCATAAGGCTTCTCTCCAATCTTTGTTCTTGCATGCTTCTGAAGGGACTGGAAATCACTGAAAGTTGTTCCATGCTCAGTACATTTGTACATCTTCTCTTCAGATCGCAAATACTCACATGGCCTCAGTGCACTGTGAGCTATGATGGGCACATTTAGTGACAAAGTCTCAGCCAGGGGGTTTCTACAAGCAAGACTTTCAGCTGGTTTTACATTAGCTTGTTTCACGTGCACATCAGCACCTAGACTCCAAAGGAGTATTTCCTCATGTTGATTCCAAGCTTTATTTCTATAAAGAAAAAAAATCCCAATGCAATGGGTCCCTATATTAATAATTAACCAAAACAAGTTGTGTTTTAATGCCTGCCAAGAAATTGTGACAATAAATTACCTGAATGCCCCAGAGGATACCTTCAAAACAACCTTTACCAAAAGAGAAGTATTTATTTGGGAATATTTAAGTTAGGATATTTTGCAATACAGAAGGTTTGGTTTTATTTTTGGCAACTGGTACATATGTACATCACATATTGATCACTTTTTATACTTTTCACCCATCATGCTCCCCCTCCTCTCCTTACACTGTGTGTCTTTTACTATCTCTAAAGTCCACCTTTCCTTTTTCTATTTACTCCCGAATTTGTATTTTTAGTTTTTCATATCCGAGAACATATTACATTCGTCAATCTGTGCCTGACTTAATTCACTTAGCATTATGGGATGAAACCCCAGCCATTTCCTCCGGCAAATGACATATCATTCATCTTAGGGCTGACTGCATACTGCGTTTTTTTTGTTGTTGTTTTCAGTGCTGGGAATTAAACACAGGTCTTAGTACTGAATTAGATATCCAGCTTTTACATTTCTTCTTTTTAAACAGATTCACACTGATGATTCAGTTGCTCAGGCCATCCTGCTGAATCAGCGTCCCAGAGTGCAGAGTTTACAAGAATGTCCCACCCTGCTGAGCCTATCAGAAGTTTTCTTTATCCATGCTTCTAATGATGGACATCTAAGCTGATCCCAGGGCTCAGCTGACATAAATCAGCCTGCTTTGACTATAAGTATGCATGTTTCAGTATAATATGATTTTAGCTCTTTTGATAATATAGCCAGGAGAGGTATGCTTGGATCAAACAGAACTTCTAGTTTTTCTTTTTGAGGCATCTAGATATTGACTATCACCATTGCTGTACTTAACACTGCCATCACCAATGTTGGAGGGGGCCTTCTGAGAATTTTAAAACATATATGGCCACAGTTCTCTGCAGGATGGCTTGAAAAGATCTATTATTACAACACTAGCATTCACTTGCACTTTGAAGATTCCTTCAAGGTTAGCAATTTTTAGCTTCAAGGTTACCAAATGTCTCATATTCACATGTATATATAAATATCCTGAGGATGGGTTGCTGTCTAAACTCCAAATTTATTCTTTTCATATATACCTACATGTTATAGCTAAATGCAATTTCACATATTTTCATGATGTTGATCATGAAAGAACAGTTTTTGAACTCATATGTCAGATAGTATCACTTGTTGCATGATATCAGTACTAACTCAGTTTCCTCTGTTAGAATATTTCTATATTCAATTGTCAGATTACACATACTCAATCTGTGTACATCGTTGGAGAATATTTGTGAGACTAATAAACTTGAACATGGCCTCATTTTCTTGGTTGTCATATTTCTGCTCACACACTGACTCTAAAGGAATACTCTTTTTCCTCATGAGTGCAAATTACCTTAGATTTTTCCAGTAAGTCTTGTACTCTTCTTCAACATCCCAGTCATTCCAGTATCCTCCTGAATTGTAGACACAGAAATAGAAGGAGTCACTACACTATTACATAAAAGTTAAAAGATTTAAGTTAAATTCCTGACAAAATATAACCAGGCCAGAGATATTCTTCAAAATGTTTTCACATTCTATTGAATGAAACTGCACTCATGAGCAACAAATAATATTTTCTGATTGGATAAAAGAGAAAGTAATAAAATGAAATTTTAAAAAAAGAGAAAGTAATGGTACCCTTACCTATAGTAGCCATGTTCCTGAAGTTTTCCCACATCACATCTCTGTAGAGTTCCTTTTGGGATGGATTCAGCAAAGCCCACTCCTCCATGGTGAAGTTCACAACCACATCCTCAAAGTTCACTGCCTCCTAAATGATCATACATGTATTTCTCAAAGGAAGTTTGAGACTCACAGTTTGGAATATCTTAACTCCTCTCACAAAAATTTAAATTGGTGCATGTCTGTAATCCCAGCACTCAGGAGGCTGAGGCAGGAGGATCACCATGATTTCAAGACCAGTGTGAGGTACACAGTGAGTTCGAGGCCAACCTGAATTACATAGTGAGACCCTGTCTCAACAAACAAAACAGCTGAATCCTTCAAATATTAACTCCATGTCTTGGTCATCAATTCAACTTGTATGCACATTTCTTTCAGATAACAACTCTGATGCCAGACTGCTACTTGTTGCTAAAACACCAGAAGAATAGGAGCAGTGGTTCTTTGGTTCAGTCAATGCGAGGGTATCAGTGCATTGTCTCTACAGCAAAGCTCACAGAGAGAGCCTAGAAGATCACCATCCACAAAACATTAGGGAAGAGGAATATCTAGTGAATTTTTTTTTCCTGGTACCGGGAACAGAACTCAGGACCTTGTGTTTGTGAGGTAGGCATGGTGCCACTGAGCTAAACCCCTGGCCCATGAATGGCTTTGATAAACCATAGGTAGTTATCTTTTCAAATCTTATCATTTATGGCACTGAGTCTTTTTTTCTTTGATTGTACTTAGGCAGCATTTTGAAACTTGAATTTGGTTTCATAGAAAAGATTATAGTTGAACATCAAGTAAGGTTTATGAATGCTAATTAAAATGTTAATGGATCAACAGTTTTATTGGAACAAGTCTATGAACAATGAAAAAGAAGGCTGCCATATTATCTTGTACCTTAGTGTCCTCAAATGGTCACCTTGTATTCAGAGATAAGAAATTCTAGAGGAGTATGGGAGAGTAATGAAAGGAAAAAGATGAAAAAAAGAATAAAATGTACTATATGCATTGAAAACCAACGTGTCACAAAGTAGTTAGGCACAAAAGGAAAATTTCAGCCAAGTGTGACAGTACATGCCTATAATTCCATCACTTTGGAGGCTGATACAGGAGGACTGCCATGAGTTCAAGGCCAGCCTTGGCTACATAGTAAATTCAAGACCAGTCTGAAATACAAAGTGAGACTGTGCCTCAAACGGCCCCTAAAAACCGAAAACTTCAAAGAAATCATGTCATTTACAAATGACACCTTTGTTTTTTTTAAAAAAGAAAAAACATAGCTGCACAACCTAATGAAAGTCTAACAGCATTTGATACCTTCTAAGCAAGAAGGTTAACAGCTTACACAATATACATGAAAGGCATTCAAATTAGACCTTTCATGAGACTGTACCATTAGTAGAGAGAATGATAAATGAATCTCAGGTGAGAAAAAGCCTTCACTGGGTCCACATGTAAATAGAATAGTAAGTCATGATATAGCCAGTGTTATGGGTCTCTGTAAGAAATCACAATCTATTTCTTTCATGTTCAGGGAGAAAGAGGTACGTATTTGGAAGCCTGGATTATATACTCTAGCATTCTATGTACAATAATTAAGTTACATATTGAAATGAGAAACAAACTTGAATTCCTTGAGAATTCATAGTGAAATAACTTTGATGTGAAAAAAGTGTCCTGACTATATATACAAGACAAGAAATATTTGCTATGCACACTGTATAAAGATTTTGTACAAGGAGCAAAGATCAAAAACACAAATCTTAAAAATTTACTAAAATATATCTATCTAACTCAAGCAAAAACACTGAATATAAATTAAGAACTAATACTTCTTTGAGAAAAATCACTAGAAATGAAATGTATAAGAATATAATAAGAAAATAGAGTTCTGCAAGAATAGAAAAATCAAATGATACACTGTACACGCATTTCTTTTACTTTGGAGTTTAGCAAAATATACAGACCAGTAAATTCTTTCCAATGTCCAGAGAGAACACTGTGTTATTATTCCTGGAGATAGATGTGATTCTCTTTTAGGTAAACTTTAAAACTCCTGAACCACATGACCAATGGAATGAGTGAGAACACGTTGCCCTTAATTCACATATCACCACATGTAAACAATAATGAGAAAAAAAACCACCTCTGGAAATATTTCTCTTTTCAATTTCCATATTACTCACTTATTGAAAATTCCAAGGGAGGAAGCTAAAATAACATAATTCATAGAAAATCCACATGGTAACCTTAGGAAAAGCCACTGAAGTAGGAGAGTGGTCATTCATGGGGAAAGAGACGCTCAAGTTGGGTAAAGAATCAATCAACTGGGTGCTCTCCCAGGATACTTACACTACTATTATTGTTCAATCCTACCAATAATTTTGCAAATAAATTTTACTTCAAAATATTTCAACACCAAATCACCATTAAGAAAGTACAATTTGTATCTGTATGTCTGCATTTATATATGAAAAGACTGAGACATCATTCAGACATTAGCAATAAGCAAAGCAGCACAGCTGCAAACAGGAGACTTACAGACCACCAGCAGGGGCCATACTCTACACTGCCCATTAGTAGAACAGGTTAAACTGTCCGAGAAAAAGGGAACAGATATCACATCTGATCAATGTCTACACATCTGGGTTGTGGTGCCAATCCTATGCCCACCCACAGAAGAGTGATTGTCATGTAGATATTGACAAAGATAGATTAAAT